TCCATGACGGCTACAGATCACGTGCAGTTGAGCTTCGCAGTTTTGCTGCTTGGACTAATGTTTGAACAGACGCAGCTACTGCCATCCAAACGGGACAAACTGCCCAAGTTCGCTTAAAATAGCGGTTAATTGAGCCTTCATCATCAATTGGTAAGTTACACGTACCAGCAGCTCTTGCACATTGTGCCGCTCCGTCGAAATCGGCTCCCCCAAGGAGAGCGCCCCTGATTCAGGGCCTGAAGGCTATCCAAAGGTAATTTCACGAAGGCAACTTGAACTTCGTGTAGCCATGTACCATCCATGTACCAATCGATGACTTCACCTTATCGTAATTACGATTGTTTTTACGTAAAAACTACACGTGTTGGATCTCCCGGACGGACACTTTGCTCCCCCATTCGCATCGTTGCCGTGATTTATCTGCCGCAGCAGTAAAGATGGCCAAGTGGACGTTCTCGCTTCTGGCGATATGCCTGACGGCGTTGGTGCTGGTAGTTCAGGCCGGCAAGGGCCCCAAGATCACCAATCAGGTCTACTTCGACGTGAGCATCGACGGCGAGCCCGCTGGCCGCATCGTCATGGGTCTCTACGGCAAGACAGTGCCCAAGACTGCGGAGAACTTCCGCGCGCTGTGCACGGGCGAGAAGGGCGTTGGCAAAAGCGGCAAGCCGCTGCACTACAAGGACAGCATTTTCCACCGCATCATCCCAAACTTCATGGTGCAGGGCGGAGACTTCACTAACTTCAACGGAATGGGCGGCGAGAGTATCTACGGCGAAAAGTTTCCGGACGAGAACTTTAAGCTGTACGACCACTTTTCAATCCTCTCATTTTATTTTTATTAAGCTGTGTTATAATAATGTACTGACGTTGTTGGTTTTGTGCAGGAAGCACGCCGGCAAGGGTACGCTCAGCATGGCTAACTCGGGCGCCAACACGAACGGCAGCCAGTTCTTTATTTGCACTGTCAAGACCTCGTGGCTGGACGGCCGCCACGTCGTCTTCGGCCGCGTCATCAAGGGCATGGATGTTCTCGACGCCATTGAGGCTGTCGGCTCGCCCAGCGGTACCCCGAGCAAGAAGGTCGTCGTCACTGAAAGCGGTGAGCTGGCTGCTGACAACTTTGTGGAGGAAGAGTAAGCGAACCATGCAAACTTGCATCTCTCACGTATGTCGGATACTTGGCGTGACGAATTCAATAAATGAGGTGCTATCCATTGTTTTTCCGTGTCAAATTCTTCATCATGGACGGGTTTGCCGGCGCATGCCGGATGACCCGAATGCTGTTGCAGCTCAGTCTCAAGAATTAAGTTCCGAACAGCATCGCAAGTTACAAGAATCTAAAGATATTTCAATAAGGAAGATGGTTCAATTGTATGCAGCCCCATTAAAATCCTGACTGTGCCGAATACAACCACTCACCCAGCAAGGACAGTAGGAGTGATATTGGTATCGTGGTGCACCGGACAGTGTGTTGACCCCTTGGTGTTCAACAGCTAAGTAGTCCCTCGTTATTATACCTGTTCGTACTAGCGATGCAAAGTGTCATTTGATTGCTGCACTTTCACCACATCGCTGGGCTACAGTCACGACACAGTGTTGTCTTCAGAGCTCCCTAACGGCTACAGAACAGAGACCACAAAGCCCAGATAAGAGAGCGTAAAGTGCACCAACCAACTGCCGCACGATCTATTGAGCGGCAGTGAGACCGTAAACACCAATCGAACAGCGCTAACCACGAATTCACCGTGTAGAGCGCACAGCTGTATACAAGTCGGTCAGTCAAGACTGCAACCATGAACCTACGAATGTTGACCATCCTAGCGCCATTTATCAAGCTCACTTTGCTGTTATTATACACTACTCTTGTCTTTGAGAATGCTACAGCTATCGGGTGAAGTTCTGCATATCAACTTTAACGCCTATCCAAATCTACTTGATCGCGTCAAGCTCGTGCGCTACAACTCTCACGTCATTCTCAATTTCACTCCTTCGAGCTCATCCACTCGAACCAACTTCCCCAAGAGCAAGATCTCTACTCACTTCATTGGACCAAGCCTCCTCTTCAACAACCATGTTCAGCAACAACAAGATCTTCGCTCTCTGCATCGCCGCTGTGGCTCTCTCAAGTGGTGCACACGCCGAACAGCAAGTGGCCGAGACGTTCGGACTACTCGGTGTCCCTGGCGTCGGTGTCGGAGTGGGTGTTCCAGGTGTGGCTAGCGTCGGAGTGGGTGCCCCCGGATACGTCGGTCCAGGCGTTAGTGTCGGCGTTCCGGGCGTTGCTAGCGTTGGTGTGGGCGTACCTGGTGTCGTGGGAGTA